GGGGACAGTAGGGTCTCTGTGGGGTATGTTGTGTGTCCGTGTGGTCAGGGTCTCTCTGTGTGTGTATATGCATTGAATCGGTATCTGTGCTTCCATGTCTCTGCGTGGAGGTGTGTGTCTGTGTGCATGCATGTCTGTCCATTTGCGCTGTCCCCACTCCTGGGCTGGGCCCCTCCAGTTCTGCTCTATTCTTCAGTTATGATTGATTTACAGTCTTTGCCATGGCAGGCAGGGGGGCTTAGCTGAGAGTGGAAGAAATTGCATGAGGTCCCTTCCAGAGCTGCCAACTCAAACACCTAGTCCTGAACTGGGGAGATACAGTTTTAGGACTGTCTTTTCTCTTTTGTCCTATCCAGATCGTGACTGGCCCTAAGGTTTTCTTTACCTCTTCTCCTGCAAAGCCCAGCCCCATGGGTCTCTTCTAGCCTCATCACTCACTAAGGGAAAGGATGAGGGAGCAGAAAGGACCAAGGGTATAGTTCACAGGCTGACCTCCACTGAACATTTTTAGTACAAGTAGAAGCCAGTGAAAACGGGTGGCTCAAGAGGTGCAAGAAGCTGGGTGCAGTGGCTCATGCCTGTAATCCCAGCACTTTGGGAGGCTAGGGTGGGAGGATCAATTGAGCCTAGGCACCATAGTGAGACTTTGTCTCTACAAAAGAAATTTTTTAAAACTAGCTGGGTGTGGTGGCACATGCCTATAGTCCCAGCTACTCCAAGGCTAAGGTGGGAGGATTGCTTGAACCCTGGAGGTCAAGGCTGCAGTGAGCTGCGATTGCGCCACTACACTTGGCCTGGATGACAAAGCGAGAATCTGTCTCAAAAAAACTTTTTTTAAAGAGGAACTAAGGCTCCCTAGAAAAAAACAGGTTCAGGGGGCCGTATCTTGCAAGAGGTTGGGGTTGTTGTATTGCAGGGGCTGTTTGTCCTTGTATGCTCAGCAACCTTCTAAGTACCAGAGAGCCCTGAAGTCAAGTGTTTTCTCCTGACATCACATACTACACTTCCGTCCGTGGGTTGAAAAAAACATGTACTGTGTGTTCACCGGGTCCATTCTGGGGTTGTCCATAGTGACTTGCATGCCAGCCCCAAGCAATACATGGCCAGCCTTGGCACCAGGGTACCTCGGCAGCTCCATCTCATGACAGCACAGCTTGTTGGTGAATGAAAAGTTGGCTCAGACCCCAAGCTCCACCCCCTTCCAATCCTGATGGGAGGAGACAGGTACACGCAGCTAGGACCCCATGGAAGTTTTCCATTCGCTTGTACCTCAGGGCAAAAATCACAGGGTCCCCTGGACCCCTCAGAGGCCACCAACCCATTCCTGTCCTACCAAACCCATCCTCCCCTTCCCTGCTCTGGGCACACTGATCATGCCAAGCTTCTGGCTCCCACCCCATGCCAGGTGTTTACATAGGAAAAGAGTCTGTAGGGATAGGGGTATCGTGACTAGGCACATGGCTGGCACACAACATAATAGTGATTGAATGGAGATTGAAATCTTCTCAAGTAAAATCGGATTAACACACAATTGTGAGTCTAGGGGGGCAAGTGTAAGAGTATGGGGTGTAGGGGCTGGTACATGTGCTGCTGTGTCTCCATCTACCCACCATGTAGGTGAACCCACTGTGTTCATTTAACCCCCATGCCTGGCACCTATGGTGTCAGCTCTATATTGGTGCCAAACTAAGCCAGAGGAGGCAGTTTTTTCCCTTTTATCCTTTGAAGGGTGTGTGTGTGTGTGTGCACGTGCATCCCTAGGAGGGAGAAGAGAAAGACTGTGAGTTAGATTACAGTAAACTAAAAGTTACCTGTCGAACACAGGTGTTCCTTGTGTCATTCCCTGCTCTTGTCCCAGAAAGATGGACCCAGGTAAGCACTGTGGCTGGGAGGCTGGGAACTGGAAGAGGGAGGAGAGTAGTGAAAGCAGGGGCCATCAGTCAGCCATAACCAGTGCGTGCCAAAAATACATACGTGTGTGTGTGTTTGTATGAAGGTGGTGGTAGGGGTCCACAATGAAAACAAGCCCTTATATTCTGTACAACATGTTACAGTTTAAGAAACAGGCTTTCACACCTGTAACCCCAGCACTTTTGGAGGCCAGACGGGTGGATCACCTGAGGTTGGGAGTTTGAGACCAGCCTGACCAACATGGAGAAACTCTGCCTCTACTGAAATTTAANGAGTTCAAGACAAGCCTGGCAAACATGGTGAAACCCCGTCTCTACTAAAAATACAAAAAAATTAGCTAAGCATGGTGGCACATGCCTGTAATCCCAGCTACCTGCAAGGCTGAGGCAGGAGATTCACTTAAACCCGGGAGGTGGAGGTTGCAGTGAGCAGAGACTGTGCCATTGCACTCCAGCCTGGGCAAAAAGAGTGAAACTCCGTCTCAAAAAAAAAAAGAAAAGAAAAAGAAGCACACCTATGTTTCTTAACAGGGTAGATGCTTCTCCCACCGCACACTCAAGGCCCAGGGGAACTAGAGGTCACGCTCAGGGCAAGGCCATGGAGGTTTGGCTGGGTCAGAATCCAGAATCCAGCTCTTGGGAGCTATGCCACTGGCTTCCCTCAAAATGAACAAAAGATCATCCTAGCCTTTAAGAAGTAGCAGGCGATTCCCACCATCGGGGCCCTTCAGAACACGCAGGAGCACTCAGGTGGGTGCTGCAGAAGGAGCCCACCAGACCCACAGCTGGGCAGCCTGGTTGGCTCCCATGTGGATTTCTTGCAGGAGGACAACATACAGCCGAACCAGGGAGATTTCCAGGTGGCAGGAGGCTCGAGCAAAGGCCAAGAGCTCAGAACAGAAGGTCATAAACAGGAGACAACAAACAGCTCTGAGAGGCTGAGCAGAGATTGGGCCAAGATATGTGGGGTGTGACAGAGACAGTGACAGATGGGGAGGCTGGCAGGGTCGCTGGCATGAAGGCAGAAGCAGAAGAATCAGGTGAATGATAGGGTTGGCCACCATGGAGCACCTCCAGGCTGACAGAGTTGGGACAAGAACCTATACTTCCTAACTGGTCACACTCCACCCAGGAGGGCTAAGCCAGCCCTTGAGCACACAGGGACACATCACTGAACCTTATATTGACTTCCAATATGTACCTTTGCTGAGAGAATGAAGGAGTGATTGTCAAGCGAGTGACCTTGTCTGAGAGGTCTTGTTGGAGTAGGGGTGTGGGCACAAAATCCCTAGCCAGGGAAAAGATAGGTTTTTTACTGCAGAACCAAATGACCAAAGCCGCTGCTTTTTTTCCTTTCCTTTCCCACAGGTCCCAAGGTAAGAAAGTTCCCCCAACGCTCTCCCCCTTTTCCTCCCCACTGACATGTTCTCCAGACTGCCAGCCTCCTTCCTAGACTCTCAGGGAGCAGCCACCACTTCCCTAAATGAAAAGAAGGGAGCAGGTTCAGGCATCAGCCCATGGGGGAGGGGCCGCACTGCACTCCTCCACCCCCTGCCGGCTGCAGCCTTCTTCTTGGCGTTCTCTCCTCTGTTTTCCCATCTGTCTCTCTCCTTTCCTCGCATCCCCTCCCTGCCCTAGCAGCCCATCCTCTCTCCTGCTGCTTCCCCGCCTGTTCTATGCTTTTCTGCTTTCCTGGCTACCCTCACAGCCTCACTGGATGGCTGGCTTGCTCCCAAACCCCAACCACCCTATGGGGACCCTAGGACCTACTTCTGCCAGGGAAGGGAGACTGCCTCTCCTCCACCTCATCCGCTGGCTACCACCAGCAGACTCAGTTCCTGGGCCTGGGTCTGTGCGCCAACCCCCAAATAAACGAGCCATAAGTGGAAAGGTGGGTGTGGTGGGAAGTGGCTGTTTCCAGGCCTCACTGAGCCTGGATGGGGCAGGGCCTACTGTACCATGGTCACAAGAAAGTGTGAAGCCCTGGAGCCTGCCTCTTCCCCACTGGTACCAAGCCCTAATCAAACCCTAGGAGGCAGAAGCAGACTGGGGACATACCCAGCCCCAAAAGTGGGAGCATAGCCCTTCTCTGCTCCACAGGGTCGCAGGCCCCCAGTCCCCTACCGTAGAAGCAAGGTGTTGTCTCTTGCTCCTGCTCCCTCCAGACCCCACCAGGCTTGTGGCAAGAGGCAAAGAAACTCCTCTGGCCCTGGAGCTTCAGGAATGATTCCCCCCAACATAGAAGGTCAAAGCACACTTTTTCCAGACCTTCTCTGGCTGAGGCAGAAAAGCTTTAGCTTTACTTTGTATTCTTCCTGATTTCTTGGGTCTGGCATCTGCTCAGGAACAGGTATGAGCTCACACATACTCATGTACACAGAACCATGCACTCCATGCACGTATCTGTACACATAGTAGGTTTGTATATGAACCCACCCATGCACATGTACACAAACATAGCTATTTTATGTAAATGCAGCACACACCCTGTACACACACATACACGGATACACACAACCTATAAAAAGAATACATACCTACCCTCTGTCTCCTCTCATCCTCCAACTGTTCACCTTCTCCATCTCCTTCTCAGCTCTTGCATCTCCCCTGACCCAGCCTTCTGTGTCCCTTTGTCCCTGGCCTTCAAAGAGTTCTTATGTAGCCTCCTCTAGCCTCACCCTTGCTAAGTACAATGAGCTGCAGTTCCTAGCATGGCAAAGCCTCTAATCACTCTGCAAGCGTTCCTGGGTGAGAGAAAGGAGAAGATGAAATAATTCTGTTTCTTAGTTGCAAATAAAATAAATCGAGGTCCAGGGAGTGGGAGTCATATCTCAGCTCAAAGAATAGAAACCAATAAATCTATGTTGCTCCCCTTTTATCTGCTCAGTGCTCTGGCCTCACCAGGATATAAGGCACAGGGCTAGAAGCAGTCATTTGCTATCTGTGCCCCCAGCCCTCCACCACAACCTCTTGCTTGCCTAGGAATCCTGAGTCCCCCAGGGAGGTAGGGAGATGGAAAGTTGATCTTAGGTAAGCTTAGCCATGACCTCTGACTCTGACGTTGTTCATTTGACTTTTCACAGGGGCACTGCCATGGGGGACATGGCCATGGCCATCCTCCAGGTCCAGGTCACTGCGGCCCTCCCCCTGGCCATGGCCCAGGTCCTTGTGGGCCACCCCCTGGTCATGGCCCAGGTCCTTGTGGGCCACCCCCTGGTCATGGCCCAGGGCCCTGTGGCCCACCCCCTGGCCATGGCCCAGGGCCTTGTGGGCCTCGCCCTGGCCATGGCCCAGGGCACCCACACCCTGGTCCACATCACTGAGGAAGTAGACTAAAACAGGACACAAGATGGCAAGCCTGAGAGAACTTCCCAGCTGACCTGGAAGAAGACCTGAACCAGAATCTTCTTTTCCTAATAAACAGCCTCCTAGAGGCCATGTTCTATTCTTAAAAGAGCCTGTCTTGCTTCATATCCACCTGGTTGTCAGAAGGCCGAGTTGTCTCTGAGCTTTCTTACTGTGAAGATGGGGCTACCAGCAAGGCATTCTTAAGCTTAGCAACATGGTATTCACTATTAATGGCTGTGTAAGGTCACCTCTCCTCTTCCTTTCACTCCTGGCCCCTCCCATCGAGGGACCTCCAGTGTGGCCTCATCACCTCTATGCCATGCTGTACATCCAGATCTGGTGGGCCTTCCGAGGTTTCAGCTTGCATGCCTCACTCTACGGACCAGAAGCCTCCCTCCAATCCAGATGGGTTTCTCACCATTCCCTGAAAATCAGTACACTGAACTTTCCAGCCTCCTTACCTTTGTTTGCACAGGTGAGGAAGAATGCCCCAACCCCTGGTCAGGAAGGCCTTCCTCTCTCCTGCCTCCCCATTTCAAAGCCTAGTCTTTCTTCCAAGCCAGCTGAAGCCCCACCTTCTCCACAAAGCCTTCCCTAAGGCCTATTAGGAAGAAAGAGGTCCTCTTTCTTTGCATACTGCCCCATTCTCTGCAGCAAAGCTACAGAGAAGAGATAGTGTCAATCACCTCATGGGCCTGACCACATCTTGCCTGTTGGCACCAATTTATGGGCTGGCCCTTTATCTCTCCAACCAAACTATAGGCTATTCAGGGCAGACCCAACACTTCAACACCTCTAGATTCTCCCACACCATTGCTTATGACCTGTGTCTTACACAGACTGGCATTGGCCCACATTTTAGCGATACCTATAGTCTTAAGTGTTCCTGACTCTCTCCTCAGCCCCCTGTCTTCAACCAAGGCCTCTTCCTGCACACATAACTAGGCCCTGAACAGCCTGCTTGCTGTAAAACCCTTTCTGCCCATCCAAATCCCACATCCAGGATCCTCTCCACTCCCCACACCCCAGGCTTCTCATACTGCCAATATCTATTCTAGATCTAGGCCCCTTAGCCAGGCCTGTCCACAGTCCATCATACTCAAATATGTTCTACTCACAGCTACTCCCTGGTGGAGTCGGTGGCTATTGGGCACCTCCCAGGCTGAGGTAGAGGGGCAGGGGTGACTATAAAAAAGGATCTGAGGTCACTCAATATACCCTTAAACAAACCTGCGCATGTACCTCCTGAATCAAAAATTAACCTTAGCTTACTGTAACTGTTTTTTTTTTTTTTTTTTTCACTTTATAAACATTTTAAATCTTAGAAAGAGAAGGAGCTGGGGATGATCTGAGCATCTCTCTTCTTCCACCCTCCTCCACCAGACTCTGCACTTGAATAACGGAGACAGGGCTCCACATCTGAGGGGTGCACACCCAGGTCCAGGTTGAGGTCCAGAAGGATGGGAAGAAAGACCCAACCTGATGCCTCGCCCCGCTGGGGAGGGGAGGAGGGCGCTAGCGAGCCAGGAGCCTCGTAGGCCTGAAGCCGCTGGCCTCTCCACCCGGAGCGTCCAGCCCTGGTGCGGACATGGAGACGCCCTCTATCCGGATGGAAGGGTCCGCGTTTCGATTTGTGAGGATGTCTGCATGGGCCGCGCTCCCTGGTTCCTTACAGGAAGGCCGAGGCCGCTAGGAAGGGTTGGACTGCCGGACTCCTCCAGCGACTCTCAGGCCCGGCGGGAGCAAAAGGGCGCGCACACCCGCAGCCCAGCGGTCTTAGAGACAGGGCGCTCCGCTCCCGCCGCTGCGCGGAGCCCATTGGCTGGGCTCCTCCTCGCCCCGCCCAGCGACCGGCCCGCTCGGAGCCAAAGCATGCGCACGAACCCGCTGCCGCCGCCGCCGCCGCCAAAGCCGCCGCCGCAGCCGCCGCCGTGGCTTCAGCACCAGCGCCGGGACAGCGGTGCCGCCCACGGGCATGGACGGTGACAGCAGCAGCAGCAGCGGCGGCGGCAGCGGCCCCGCTCCCGGCCCGTGTCCGGAAGGGGAGCAACGGCCCAAGGGGGAGGCCTTGGCCCCAGACGGCGGCTCCCCGGACAGGTAGGGCGGACCGCTCCGCGGACCCAGATCACAGACCCTCCCAGCACCCCCGCCCCAGGTATCCCCAGTAGACGCCATATGTTGCCTCATTCATTCCCCAGACCCTCCGGGAGCCCCTTCCCGGGGTCGCCAAGCTCCAGGCCCCCCTCGCCACGCCCTCATCCTGCCGGGTCAGTTTCCTCGCTCCCTGACACCCCCTAGTGTCAGCCCCCATCGCCCTCCCTGCTTAGGGAACCTGCCCCACCCACGGCTCCTACCCTTCCTCTAAGGCTAGGACTCCCTGGCTTCTCTGGCCCCTCCTTCTAGGCCCTGCCCCTGCGTCTTCTCCGGAAGCCTTAAGTCCGCAGTAACCTCAGTCAGGGTTTCAGCGTGTCAGTGTGCATGAGGGTGTTTGTGAATCATGGACAGGAGAATCGCCGAGGCGGGTGTCCTGGGGAAGGCAGACATTCGGCAGGCACGTCAGGGACTGTCTTTGTCATCGTCAGTCTCTTGCCTGCCCTGCATGGCCCCCAGCTGTGCACGTGTGGGTTCCAGTCCCTGCATGTGGCAGCCACACTCGCTGGAGCCGCTAAGATGGGAAGGCTCTGGTGCTCAGGCTGCTGGCCTGTACCACCCCGGAAGAGCCCCGGGCTGGTGGGACAGGAGGGACACCTTCCTGCTGAGGGCCCAGATCTCAGTACCTCTCCTCTCCCTTCCTCCACCATATGTGTGAGGGAAGAGCCCAGCTAGGTAGCAATATGGCGCAATTTCTGTGCCCTGCCTGGCTCTGCCGCCCCCAGAATCCCTCCTCTGACATGACACTGTCTCTTTCCTGCCTGGACTGAAATAAAAAGCATTCTTTGGTAGCAATAGCAGAGGTGGACACATTGTCTCCAGACTACCCCAGTTAAAATGTACATTCTGTACCCCAGAGGGAGAGAAAGCCCCACAAATAGAGAGAAATGTTTTCTTCCCTTTATTGTGAACACATTAGCCTGGATAGATTTAGCCATGCTTCAGTCTGAAAGTCACAAAGCCTTCAACAGGGTGAGACACAGGATGAGTGTATTCACCAGACCAGGGACCTGCCTGGGACTATGGCCTGATCAGAGACCAAGGATGGAGCAGTGACAGGGCAGAGTGGGAGCCTGGGACCAGAAGCATCCCTAGAAGGGGCAGGAGAGTTATTTGCTGTCTCAGATATCTTGCCAAGGATCAGCCGTGTCCAGTTTCATTTCCCCTGGGCATAGGATCCACTTGCTGTCTTCCAGAAATGCCCTGGGAACTCTGGCCCCTCGCTGCGCTTCTCCAGAGACCATGGACACTAACTAGGCATAGGGACTTGCTTATGTGATTCAAGAAACACAAAAATGCTCCTGCTGAGCTGAGTAGCACTCTAGGGATAGATACACAGTGAATAACTCACACACACATGCAGGTGTGTGCACACCCTTACCAACACACTGGCTAGGGAGGAATTTGAAAGAGGCCACACTTTGTGTTTTTAAAATTACCTTTTTATTTTCCTAGTGGTATGAGCTGCTCCCCCATCTGTCTTGGCCACTCTGTGGGATCACATTGATGTTCATATGGCTGTGTGTCTGTGTGCTTGAGGGCATGGTTAGTACAATATAAATTTGCCCCTTATGGGGCTTCCAGGTTAGGCCTCTGTGTCTGGGATCTTGTCAGCCAGGCTCTGATTGCAGGGATGTTGGCCTCTTGAGTGAGGCCTGCATCCCCACTTTCCATCCCACTGCCTGCCCTACTCACTTGGCTTATGGGCCTGCAGGCCCAGGCAGACAGCCCAGGAAGCTAGTCATACGAGTGAGGGCCATGGAACTGAGGGAGTGAGAATAAAAAACCCCTGTGTAGGCCTGGGATGTTTAATTCCTATTACTACTGAGCCTCCTGAGAGCAGAGGGCAGCAGGAGCTGACAGGAGAAAGCTTTTATTCTGAGAAGAGTGGAGGTTGGCTTTTCTCATTGGGAGATTTGAGGAAAAGGCCTGGCTCTACAGCAGTCAGAATATTGAAGGTTTCAATTTCTGCCACATTGATAATCATTGGCACAGTCAGGTAGGGTGGGACTGGGGGCAGCTGATCCTAGGTCGCTGAAAAGGAATAGCAGGGGTTAAAGGGAAGGAGCTGGGGCCAGGGAGACTCCAGCAGAAGCAAACCAGTGGTGGAGGTTAAGATCCCCCTTGAAGAAAAGCCAGTTAAGGACAAGGGTGGACTTCGGAGGTTTGGCAAACTGGGTAAGCAGGAGTGCACCCATTCTTCTCCAGTATCCTCTGGAATGTTGGTTTCCCCTAGTGCAAAAGAAACTGACACTCCAAGTGGTGCCCTGGCTCCTAAAACAAGCCCAGTGCTCAGTTATCTAAGGCCATGGGCAGCTGGAATAGGCCCCCCACCTCCACCCGGGCTGCCCCACTTTCCTGACCCCTAGAAGGCAAGCCCCGCTCTGAAGAGGGAGACCAAGGCTAATGGATCATCTTCATGCCTCCAGGACCCAACTCAGAGCAAGCACAATGCTAAGCACAGGATGGGTGTGCAAGAAAAACCTACAGAATTAAACATCTTTAAAAAGTCAGTGTCCACACTTACACACACAGCCTAGACCATTTATCCAGCTTCTCTCTGGCCCACAGGGATTGGCCTACAGGGTCTTTTATCTGCCAGGACACTGGTTGCTTATGTCATTAACTTTATAGAGTCATTTGAGGTCTTGCTTTAGAACAACTTTGGTCAAATTCCTATTTTCCTAAATGTTGAGTTTGTAAAAAATAAGTGATTAAAATCATGAGATCAACTTTTGATGCAGCTTTTTGATAACCAAAAGGAAAGTATTTGTACATGTAGTGAGGTTCTCAAGGTGTGAGAAGTTCTAAAACGGAGATATATTATCTGAGGTGCCAAAAGAGGACAAATTGTAAATACAAACACTTCTAAAAGTATATGCTCCCTGCCGCACTGACCATGGGAAGAGGCAGGAAAGCAAATGTGTCTTCCATATGACAGACTCTGTGCCAGTCACCTCACATATGTTATATCAGCTAATCCCCACACCAAACCCAAGAGGTGGTCATTATCTAATATCTTTAACAGACAAGGATGCCAATGCTCCAAGAAGTGTGTGTCTTTCCCAAGGCCCCAGAGTCAAAGGGTGATGAAGTCAGGAACCCACCTCCACTGCTCCCCCATTTCACCCTCAGCATAAGGGTCATTCTCTCCTGGACTGCCAGGCCAGCCTGCCATCCTTCTGAGAAAAAGAGAAAGAGCATGTTTATCCTTCCCAGTTCCTCTCCTCGGTCTCTGGGCAGAACTCAGCCTCTGTGGGCAATGCCCATCTGCCACTGAGGCCGGGACTGCAGCTCACAGCCCCTTCAGCAGTGCAGCAACCAAGACTGGAAGCCAGGGTTGGCTCCGCATAGATCTGGCTCTCCTTGGAAGCTATGCAAACTCGCGAGTGGGCTGGGTGAGCCAGGTGGAGGCAGGGGAGAAAGAGACAGAGCTCTGTGAGGCTGACCAGCCCAGAACCCCTCTGGGAACCCTCATGGCCCTGGGCACTCTGTTCTGTGGCCATCTTTTCCTAATCTGGGTCTGCAATCCTGCCGCTGGGGTTGATATTCCACCTCCCCCATACCCAAGGAGTGGAGCTGGGTGCATGCATACAGCATTGCCCTGAGGAGTAATTTTGGGAGAAGAATCTATTGCTGACTCTTTTCTGGCAAGTTCCTTGGGGTAAGAAGGGTGTCCCACTTCCCTCTCCCGGCTGTGCACATCCTTACAAAGTAAAACTGCTCTTTGCATGGCCCGTGACAGGGTAGGTGGAAGGGTAGCAGTTGCTTCCACAAACTTTCCCTGACCACCCTAACCCCTGTCAAAGTGGGACCCTCTCTGGGCTCCCTCAGCCCTCTGTGACTTCCCCACTTGCAGCATTCAACATGTTGGACTATTCCTATTTCCCAACTACTGTGAGTGCCTAAAGGGCAAGGACCAGGTCTTATTCATCCTAGCACCACTATTAGCGGCCGGCCTAACACTCATTCAACAAACATTTCCAGGATGCTTTCTGTGTGCAAGGCACTATTCAAGGCCGTGGCTATATGGAGATGAACAAATGCAACAGGTCCCTGTTCTCCCAGCATTCACATTCCACATGAAAGACAGGCAATAAACATGACAACTCTATAATAGAATATTAAATTGCAACAAATGCTATGAAAAAAATATAAAGCAAGGTGGGGGATTGAGAGCTGGTGGGCGACTATGTTAGAAGGAGTAGTCAGGGAAGGTGTCTCTGAGGAAGTACTAGTTGAAACAAGGCTCTAAGATGGGAATAGGAGTGCAGCAGGTGCTTAGTAATCTGTCTGGCAAGAGAAAGAGCAAACAACTGCAGCAGAAAGAGCACAGGACTGCAAGTCGGAAGAACTGGGTTCAAGCACCAGCTCTTCATCTGTCAGTGAACCTGTTTTCAAGTCTATCAGTCGAAGAAAATACCTTCTTTGTGAGGTTTCTGTAAGGAGTGAGTAAGATCATATACGTGAAAGCACATTCAGTGTCTAGCACAGGGCCCGGCAGGTAGCAGGCTGCCAACTGCTTTCTGAGGGTGTGGAAAATGAGTGAAAAAGAGAATGGTCTCCAAGAGGTAGGCTGAGGGCACAGATTCAAGCCCCTGGCATCCCTACCTCTTCTCCCCCAGGACTACTGATACATCAACCGAGTCCCTGTCCCCTTGTCTTGTCTTACTGAATAATGCTGGGGCATGGGGTAGTTCACTACCTTCCCCCAACCCAATCTTCCCTGCCTCCTCTCTTCCTAGCACCCAGACCAAGGCTGTGGCCCCTGAGGCAAGTCCAGAGAGAAGCTGCTCCCTCCACAGCTGCCCCCAGGAGGACCCTTCCAGCTCTTCGGGACCCCCACCAACAACTTCCACCCTCCAGCCTGTGCGTCCATCCAGCCCCTCGGCCCCTGCCCACTTCCCCTATCCCCAGGCACTGCAGGAATATCCGGGGGGCAGTTCCCTGCCAGGACTTGGGGATCGGGCAGCTCTCTGCTCCCATGGCTCCAGCCTCAGCCCTTCCCCAGCCCCCTCACAGCGTGATGGGGTCTGGAAGCCACCCGCTGTGCAGCACCACGTGGTCAGCGTCAGGTAAGGAGGGGCCCAGCAGCCTGCCAGCTGCCACTGGAAAATGGGACAGGACTTAAGAGTGGGGCAGACCCCCAGGGCTTTGGACTCCTTTGTTAGGAGGCAACCCGGATGCAATAGGAAGTAAGGGTTGGAACTTGGGAGTGTCAAAGTCCTAAAAGGGTTAATATCATCGTTTATCCCTCACCCACCCACTCCCACCCCACCTCCACCCCCAACACACACCCTGCAAGAGGACTCTGGCAAGCAAGCAGCTTCTCTTCTCTTCTCTTCCACAGGCAGGAACGAGCCTTCCAGATGCCAAAGAGGTAGGCTTGGGCCTTCCCTGGACCTCTAGGGGTGACCAGGCTGGTGCCCAGTGTAACCCTGTTCCACGTGCTCTCTGCTCTACCACCCCTTCTTGGTGGAGCCTGAGCTCAGCACTCACTGCCACCACATCCAACTCACGTGGGCTCCTCCCTCTTTCCCAGCTATTCCCAGCTGATTGCTGAGTGGCCAGTGGCTGTGCTGCTGCTATGTCTGGCTGTCATCTTCCTCTGCACCCTGGCTGGACTGTTGGGGGCCCGGCTGCCTGACTTCTCCAAGCCTTTACTGGTGAGGAGCCAAGGGGTGGGACAGGGTCCCCAGGCCTGGCCACCTCAGCCCAGCCTGGGGCAGAAAGTTGGAGGTAGGGTAGCCATGTTGGACTGGGGATAGGATAGCCATGGTAGGCTCTTGACCTCCAGAGAGTTGGGGAGATGGTATAAAGTTCAGACTCATATCCACAATTCAGGCAGGCGGGCTGCCCTCCCTGCTCTGAGGAGTCAAAGGGGCAGAGCTAAGAAGCACCCAGAGAACTCCTCCCTTGCCCACCTGCTCTTCTCCACCCTCCTCCCTACAGGGCTTTGAGCCACGGGACACGGACATTGGGAACAAGTTGGTGGTCTGGAGAGCACTGCAAGCCCTCACAGGCCCCAGAAAACTGCTTTTCCTTTCCCCAGACCTTGAGCTGAACAGGTAACAGGCTCTCATTCTTCCACTGTGGGTGGGAGAGGAAAGAATGAGACCACCAGAAAGGAGACATTGGGTGACCCACTCCAAGGCAGGTCAGAGGGGCTTGCCAGGGCTCCCTGGGGAATGGTCTCTGGCCTCCTCTGAGTCTTCCAACCCTAATGGTGCCTGGCATAGATATTCTCTCCACTTCAGCTCAAGCTCCCACAACACTCTGAGATCTGCACCCAGGGGCAGTGCCCAGGAGAGCATTGTCCGGCCTCGGAGGATGGTGGAGCCCCTGGAGGACAGAAGGCAAGAGAACTTCTTCTGTGGCCCCCCTGGTAAGTGGCACCCTGGCCAGTTCCTGGTTTTAATAGTGGTCCCCACCCCACCTAGTAGGATGGGCAGGCCCAGAACAAATCTAGGCAGAAACAAAGGGAAGGTGGCCAGCTGGCCACAGTCAAGCCAAGGAATCCGGGTTATAGCTAGGAGGATGAGGGAGAGTTCTCAGATGCTCCAACCAGGCAGGGTTAAGCTGGGTTGGGCTGAGGCACAGGGACAGGATCAGGCAGCCCATGTACAGGCTTGAGATGCCTGAGAATCTGAGCCTCATATGGCGTGGATAAGCATCTTCCCTTTGGAAGACCCAAGTACTGAGCTCTGGGTGATGGGGGTATGTTGCAGAGAAGAGCTACGCAAAGCTGGTGTTCATGTCCACCTCCTCGGGCAGCCTATGGAACCTGCATGCCATCCATTCCATGTGTCGCATGGAACAGGACCAGGTGAGCCAGCTGGGGAGCTGCCAGGGGTTTGGGGGGAAGTAAGGACATGAGGGAACTGATCCCAGAGAAATACAGCTGAGCCAGGACTGCCAGGGGGTAGACTGGGGAAGAGCATTCCCTACTTAGAAAATTATTCCAACCCTGCTGAGAGGCTCCAGGTTGGGGTGGGAAAAGAAGAATCGGCTGTTTTTAGAAGAGCCAAGATAGAAGTGCTGGAAGCAAGCCCATGCAGAGCCTGGGGGTTTCCAAAAGGTCCTGAAAGGGGCCTCCAGAGCTGGTGAGGAGGCCCTGGCCCAGGGGCTTCAAGGCCCCTGCCCCCATCAACCCCAGCAGTGCCAATCCAATTATGCTAACTGGAGAATCATACACAATAACATCTGAAGAAAGGTTTGCTGCTAAAAACGGTGTGAAAACCACACAGTAGCCCAACCCCCCCACTTCACATGAGGATATCCTAAGTACCAAAAGACTGGTTAAGAACATGTGTTCTAGAGTCAGATGCCTGAATTCAAGGCCAGCTCTAAGGCTGTCTTGCTGTGTGACTTCAGGCATGTTTCTTAACCTTTCAGTGCCTCAGGCTCATAAGCGTTAAATGGAGATAATAAAGGTTTCCTCACAGGAATGTGGCGAGGACAGATAATGAGATAGAATTTGAAAAATTACAGCATAATGACTGGCAATAGTCATCTCTCAATAAGTGTTACCGTGTTGTCACCATGATCTCAGGCCTAAGGTCACACAGCCAGTTAGTGGCAGAGCAAAGGCCCCTGACTCCCACGCCAGTGCTCTCTATACTACATCAGCTGTCGTGATGTCAACAGGAGGAAAGGAGAAAAAAGGAGGCATGAGATTTAAAAAAGAAATAGCGTGGCCCTGAGAGGCTTTAAGCAGTGCAGTGGACAGAAGCAGGAGGCTGGGATTTGCCAGTGACCCTGAACCTGGAATGTTTTAGTCTCCAGTTTTACTTTTCCCATTATTTGCTTCAGCCCCTTGGACCCTTGGCCCTGTCTATCTGTGGCTGCTGCCTCCACTTTTACTCCTAGCTTAGGCCATGAGGAGTTGGGGTGTGTGACCTACAGGGGCTCTTAGAGCAGGCTGAAGCCTCTGACAGCATCCCTGAGGCTCTTCTTTGATAAAGTCAAGATGTAGCTGCTGGCACCTGGGCCAGGAGCCAGAGGCAGCTGGGAAACAAGGCGGTTTCACTAGGCTGTCAAGATCCCTCTCTGTGCCTGCCCTGCAGTGTGAAAGGAGGTGAGAGAGCCTCATACGGGACTGGGAAAACCTGGGCCCTTGGACTGCCCCTGAGCTCTCTCCTCCTATGTGTGCCCTACAGATCCGCTCACATACCAGCTTTGGGGCTCTGTGCCAGCGGACAGCAGCCAACCAGTGCTGTCCCAGCTGGTCCTTGGGCAACTATCTGGCTGTGCTCTCCAACCGCTCCTCCTGCCTGGACACTACCCAAGCTGACGCAGCCCGAACACTGGCCCTGCTTCGGACCTGTGCCCTCTACTACCACAGTGGTGCCCTGGTACCCTCTTGTTTGGGACCCGGGCAGAACAAGTCCCCACGCTGTGCCCAGGTTCCCACCAAGTGCTCCCAGAGTAGTGCCATCTACCAACTCCTGCACTTTCTGCTTGACAGGGACTTTCTGAGTCCCCAGACCACTGACTACCAGGTGCCCTCCCTCAAGTACAGCCTGCTCTTCCTGCCCACCCCAAAGGGTGCTTCCCTGATGGACATCTACCTGGACCGGCTGGCCACCCCCTGGGGGCTCGCTGACAACTACACCTCCGTAACCGGCATGGACCTGGGCCTCAAGCAGGAGCTGCTGAGGCACTTCCTGGTCCAGGACACGGTGTACCCCTTGCTGGCTCTGGCTGCCATCTTCTTTGGCATCGCCCTGTACCTCCGCTCACTATTCCTCACGCTTATGGTGCTGCTGGGGGTGCTGGGCTCACTGCTGGTGGCCTTCTTCCTTTACCAGGTGGCCTTCCGCATGGCCTACTTCCCCTTCGTAAATCTGGCAGCCCTCCTCCTGCTCAGCAGCGTCTCCGCCAACCACACACTCATCTTCTTCGACCTGTGGCGCCTCAGCAAAAGCCAGCTGCCGTCCGGGGGGCTGGCGCAGCGCGTGGCCCGCACCATGCATCACTTCGGCTACCTGCTGCTGGTCTCCGGCCTCACCACGAGCGCGGCCTTCTACGCCAGCTACCTGAGCCGCCTGCCGGCCGTGCGCTGCCTCGCCCTCTTCATGGGCACGGCTGTGCTGGTGCACCTGGCCCTCACGCTGCTCTGGCTGCCCGCCTCCGCCGTGCTCCACGAGCGCTACCTGGCTCGCGGCTGTGCGCGCCGGGCGCGGGGCAGGTGGGAGGGCAGCGCGCCCCGGCGGATGCTCCTGGCGCTGCACCGGCGGTTCCGCGGTGTGCGGAGAGCGGCGACCGGCACCTCGCGCCTGCTCTTCCAGCGCCTGCTGCCTTGCGGCGTCATCAAGTTCCGCTACATCTGGATCTGCTGGTTCGCGGCGCTGGCGGCAGGGGGCGCCTACATCGCAGGCGTCAGCCCCCGTCTGCGGCTGCCCACGCTGCCGCCGCCCGGCGGCCAGGTCTTCCGGCCCAGCCACCCCTTCGAGCGCTTCGACGCGGAGTACCGCCAGCTATTCCTGTTCGAGCAGCTGCCGCAGAGCGAGGGCGGCCACTTGCCCGTAGTTTTGGTGTGGGGCGTCCTGCCCGTGGACACCGGCGACCCTCTGGACCCTCGTAGCAACAGCAGCCTGGTGAGGGACCCTGCCTTCTCGGCCAGCGGCCCCGAGGCCCAGCGCTGGTTGCTGGCACTCTGCCACCGGGCCAGGAATCAGAGCTTCTTCGACACCCTTCAGGAAGGCTGGCCCACGCTGTGTTTCGTGGAGACCCTCCAGCGCTGGATGGAGAGCCCCAGCTGTGCCCGCTTGGGGCCTGACCTCTGCTGCGGCCACTCAGACTTCCCCTGGTCCCCCCAGTTTTTCCTGCACTGCCTGAAGATGATGGCTCTGGAGCAAGGCCCCGATGGCACCCACGACCTGGGACTTCGCTTTGATGCCCATGGCAGCCTGGCCGCCCTGGTCCTGCAATTCCAGACCAACTTCCGTAATAGCCCGGACTACAACGAGACCCAACTCTTCTACAATGAGGTCAGCCACTGGCTAGCAGCGGAGCTGAGCATGGCACCTCCAGGTCTCCGCCGCGGTTGGTTCACCAGCCGTCTAGAGCTGTACAGCCTGCAGCACAGCCTGAGCACTGAGCCTGCTGTGGTGCTGGGCCTGGCTTTGGCGCTGGCCTTTGCCACACTGCTGCTGGGCACCTGGAATGTTCCACTCAGCCTATTCTCCGTGGCAGCTGTGGCAGGCACCGTGCTCCTCACTGTAGGACTCCTGGTTCTACTCGAGTGGCAGCTCAACACTGCCGAGGCCCTTTTTCTCTCTGCCTCAGTGGGTCTCTCGGTGGACTTCACGGTCAACTACTGCATCTCCTATCATCTGTGCCCACACCCTGACCGCCTGAGCCGCGTGGCCTTCTCTCTGCGCCAGACCAGCTGTGCCACAGCAGTGGGGGCTGCAGCCCTTTTTGCGGCAGGTGTGCTCATGCTGCCCGCCACGGTGCTGGTCTATCGCAAGCTGGGCATCATCCTCATGATGGTCAAATGCGTGAGTTGTGGCTTTGCCAGCTTCTTCTTCCAATCTCTCTGCTGTTTCTTTGGGCCAGAAAAGAACTGTGGGCAGATCCTCTGGCCCTGTGCCCACCTGCCATGGGATGCTGGCACTGGAGACCCTGGTGGGGAGAAGGCAGGTCGTCCACGACCAGGGTCAGTGGGAGGGATGCCCGGGTCCTGCTCAGACCATTATGAGCTACAGCCCTTGGCACGGCGTCGGAGCCCCAGCTTTGACACCAGCACAGCCACCAGCAAGCTGTCCCACCGGCCCTCAGTACTCTCTGAAGATCTGCAGCTCCATGATGGCCCCTGTTGCTCCCGGCCCCCACCAGCCCCTGCCTCCCCAAGGGAGCTGCTGCTGGACCACCAGGCAGTCTTCAGCCAGTGCCCTGCCCTGCAAACCTCCTCCCCCTATAAGCAGGCTGGCCCCAGCCCCAAAACCCGGGCCAGGCAGGACTCCCAAGAGGAGGAAGCTGAGCCCCTGCCGGCCTCGCCAGAAGCCCCAGCCCATTCCCCCAAGGCCAAGGCTGCAGAACCTCCTGATGGCTTCTGTTCCTCAGCAAGCACCCTGGAGGGGCTCAGCGTCTCTGATGAGACCTGCCTAAGCACCTCTGAGCCCAGTGCCCGTGTACCAGATTCTGTGGGTGTGTCCCCAGATGATCTGGATGACACTGAGCAGCCAGTCCTTGAGCGGGGCCAGCTGAATGGGAAGCGGGACACCCTGTGGCTGGCACTGAGGGAGACAGTGTATGACCCATCGTTGCCTGCCTCCCACCAGAGCAGCTTGTCCTGGAAGGGCCGCGGGGGGCCAGGGGATGGCAGCCCTGTGGTACTGCCCAATAGCCAGCCAGACCTGCCAGATGTTTGGTTACGCAGGCCCAGCACCCACACGTCAGGCTACAGCAGCTGAGGGGGACCTGGGGAGGCCGGACGGGGCATAGAACCCTGTCAGGGATGACACGGCAGGGGCAGCACCTGGCTGAAGCCGAAAGGTATTTCTCCAGATCCACAGGGAGAGGTCTCACCCTCCAACTGTGGATGTTAAACCCTGCCAGATGTCCCAGCCTTCATCTGTCTGCTCCTACTCCTCACATCTGGAGGATTCCAGTGAGAGGGGTTTTGGAGGGGACCTGCTTGTGACCTGGTGAGGGCTTGTCTGTCCCCATAGCACCATCTAAGACCCCTCTTCTAGAAGTGAGGAAGGCCAGATGTCTAGCTTCTGGTATCAGAGGAGGGTGACCTGGCCCCCATCCCAACTTCCAAGAACTTCAGTGAGACTAAGGGACCCTATCCTCGGGATCTTGTCAGGTTCCTCACTGACCAGAAGAGCCTGCAGGAATCTCTGCAGCCTCCTGGGTCTCACCCCTTTCATGGGCTCTTCATAAGGACACTTCCGTCTCTTTGGGGAGCTTCTCTGGGCAGAATTGGGCTTGGGACCTCTCTCCCAAACTGCCCTGCTCTCCTCACACTCACTGGTTTGACCAGAAATTCTCCAAATCCAGCCATAGGTGGCTGCTGGGAGCGCAGCAGGAGAAGGAGGATGGTCAGCCTCGGAGCATCTCTAAATTACAGGACAGTCCCTCTTTGGAAGCAGGCTCCTGTGCTCTTCTGTGTTAATAAACAGTAAGAATCCTCTACATCCCTGTACATTTTAGTCTCGTTGGAATCTATCTCACTACTTCTTTACAGGGCATCCTGAGGTTGGTTAGGTTCTTTTGCCCCCAGTTTATAGGTAAAGACACTGAGACTAAGCAAGATGAACTGACCCCAGAGTCACTTAGCCACTAAATGGCAGAGAGGTTTCATTCCACCACTACAGCCTCCAGTCTCCCCTTGGCTACCTGCTTTGGGGACATTGGCATATGGCTGTCTTGATCTTTTACCTCTAGCACCCTCCTCCAACCTGCTTTCTCTGGTGTCTCCAAGCGAACCCAGCCACCCTCTTTGGGCCTCCACTTCCTGAGAGCTGTATTCCAAACAAACCCAGGAGTTCCTCTCCATCTCACCTGTGCTTCCCTCTGGAATCTGGCTGAGATGCCTGCTGCCCCTGGGGCATCCTGGCTGACCTGATCAGGGGCATGCCTCTTCTACGGCCACAGTGTATGGAGAGGCCCCACCAGAAGTGGTACTGAGGACAGAAGAGGCGAGGCCGAATCCAATCGAGGCAAGAACTCATACCTTCCCTTTGAGGAGTGTATGAGTCTGAAGCTGCTTCCCAGGTCAGGGTCCCCAGCTTTTTAAGGACAAGTCTGTGGAGTGGTAAGCAGACCAAAAGCTGACTCCTCCTCCCCAAAGCAGAGTCTGGTGGGGAAGTTTTATCCCATGTGAGAGCTCATGACACCAGGTGGCATCAACACGTTTATTGAACACCTACTTTCCATGTGGTATTACCGGAGACAGAGGTGTGGAAGAAAAACTGAACACCACCCTCAAAGAGCTCACCTTCTAGCTGGGGAGACAGCTTACATACACACGCAGGAATCAGATGGTTCACCGACAGCGCCATATGCCTGGCATCATCATTGTTGAAGCTCAAGTACCCAGGACTGGGTAACAAGAAAGGCTTTCTGGAGGAAGAAAAACTTGAGCTGGGCTTCAGAAGACCAAGCATCTCAGACTGGAAGGGGCCTTGGCGATCATTTATTCCAGCAGTTTTCAAACTTTGTGGCCTCAGGACTCTTTCTTCAAAGAACCTCTGTGTGGAAAAACAGTATATAAAACAGGTAAAAAGCAATTACTTTGGTGGGCTCTGGGTGTTGGGGGTGGAGTCAGCTCAGCCTGTCTTTCCACTGCAGCCTCTCCGGGGACCTGGGGAACCCCTCAGCCTCCTGGCAGCTTCACAGAATGTGATATGGAAACTACTGATCCAGGCTATTTTACAGAGGAGTATCAGAAAAGGGAAGGGATTTTTCCAGGGCCAAATAGTCTGTGGCAGAGCTGGAGGCAAATGAGATATTTTTGTTTTATTTAATTCTATTATTATTGAAACCTACTTCCTACTCCAAGTAGCCCACTAGAAGTGGAGCAGAAACCTAAACAAGACATGGGAGTTGCAGAAGAGACAGAAGACAGCAGGCAGGTATGGCAGGATACCTTGGCTCCTTTGCAGGATAAGTAAATCAAGATGATTAACTCCTGACACCAGAAAGGGGAGGCTGGAACCTAATTTGAACCTGTCCCCTGGGGGTCTGCTGGGACCTCTCTCATGTGCAGGTAGCATTCGGCCTCTCTGGCCTAGAGCTGTTCATCAGCCCTGGTTTCTCTGATAATAGTGTCCCTCTGTTATCACACAGCTAGGCTGAGAGCCCTGGTATCCTTCGGGACAATGAGCCACAGGGAGATCAAGGGAACTCTTCCTCCCTAGCATGAGCAGAAGACACTTTGCCAGAACACAACCACTGAAATGTTAGAATGCAGAGGGGTGGATGGGTGGGCATGAGGGATTTGGGCACAACTGAGGGCCCTACTTGGGGATTTCTGGATCACATGCTTGCAGGCTTGTGACCACACAACACTGCAGGATAGCGAATGAGCCATAGAAGCTGATGCATTGATTAGATTTGTTCTTTATGTTGCCAGGCCCAGAAGAACACAGCAGTAATCTAAAACATTACATCATACCTAAAATGGCCCAAACCAACAGCAGGCAATCCACATCAGTGGGAAATCTAGCCTGCCTCTCTGGCTCTGACTCGGGAATGTGGAACTTAAAGCACTTTCAATTTCCTTTGAGTTGCAGCAGATCTTTCACTTTATTATCATTAGGGGCCCTTACAATGAGTGTATGGCCCTGGAGACATGGCTCAAGAGCACACTGTGAGGCATGCAAAAATGAGTCAAAGCACTCATGTTTGCCCTGGAAAATTCAAGAAATGATTTCTCTCCACTGAGACGCTTTAGTAGAACTACATTAACACTCATTTGGGACTTGAGGTCATTTCCCCTATTTGTGCCACTGATCCTTGAACTCACATTCAGAGTATGAGTATGTATGCTGTATGTTTTAAGAATATAACTGAGGCTGGGCGTGGTGACATGCCTGTAATCCCAGCACTTGGGAGGCTGAGGCAGGCAGATCACTAGAGGTTAGGAGTTTGAGACCAGCCTGGCCAATATGGTGAAAACCCATATCTACTAAAAATACAAAAATTAGCTGGGCGTGGTTGGGGGAGTGCCTGTAGTCCAAGCTACTCAGGAGGCTGAGGCAGGAGAATTGTTTGAACCTGGGAGGCAGAGGTTGAAGTGAGCCGAGATCGCGCCAATGCACTCCAGCCAGGATGACAGAGGGAGACTCTGTCTCAAAAAAATAAAAAATATGAAATATATATATATATATATATATATTTCTGTTACCATGGGAAAACCTATCCTTCCATGGTTGTGGTGATTTGGGGACTTTTAGAGTGACAATGTTAGACAGATTGATTTTACCGACTGAATCTTAGATTTTACTGATATATGGCATATACTATACCATGATATTCAGGCAATATTACAGCTTGAGACAATTTTGAAAGAGACATTTCTCAAGAAATTTATAAGCCAAAGCTTCCCTAACCCCCTCCACCTCATTCTGTCCTTCTCCCAATGCATGACAAGAAAGGGAAGAAGTCTTTAAATCAGATTTTAAGAAAGAGGATATATTGGTTTACAATCTTTGCCTATTGTCCAGAGAGTTTAGTTTCAGATCTTTTCTTTGACGGTGGCATGACCTCATTTTCTGATAATACACATGGATAATGACAAGCTCTTGGGACTCCATGCCAAGCATCAAGATCCCCTTTACCTGGTGATAGGAAACACAGACATTCCTTACCATTTCTAACCTCACCCTTGTTCACAGGGATGACTGTAACTAAGGTCTTGCAGGTAATTATGCTTAGGAGAAGAAATCGTTACTCAATTCACCGGGAAGATGAGAAACAGAACAAAGCCACTATGTGCTATGTAAATGCCTGGCCATCCAAAGCCACGCTATGCAGAGGAACCCTGGAAGGGCCTTGATACAGTTCTCATAATTATTATCAGGCCTCTTTGTGATGGCTCAGATTTCTGTCAATAAAGGGGAAAGATCAGATTTTACCAAATCTACAACCATCAAAAAAACAAGAGCTTTAATATTGCTAAAGAAAATCACACAGCTGAGCAGATTGATATAGATTTGAATTCATGACCACCTATCTTAACTGGACCCTCAGCTCTGCCTAACTAGTACCCATTCTAGCTACTAGTTTTGATTATTTGTATTGACTCTCATATTTTCTCCACCTTCCTCAAATATCTGATGCCGTCACCTTACCCCATCCCTCAGGGACCAAAAAAAATGCATTCTTCGTGAAAACTGAAACCTTCAAATAGGAATTTCTTCACCTTCAAGGCACCAAAGCCCCAACTTACCTACCCCTGCTCTTGCCTGCTCCTCTCCCCATCCCTTCTATTACAACGAAGGAAGCAGTGATGGCTCCATCAATGGCTTCTCACACTTTGTGTCAGAGGCCTTCACACGAGGGTTTGCACTGTCCTACAGGGTCATGAAGACTTTCTAGAAGGTAGGTGGACACAGATAGTTTTAAAGTAATCCATTTCCAGAGCCACCTTCTCCATATGTTCCCCCTCCTCATATTGGTGGGTCTAAGAAGAAGCCCAAGGTCTGGCAGCTCTCCTTCCCAACTTGCACTTTCCCAGTTGCCTCCCCTACCTCATTCTGAATCCTACTTTGGCACCTTGCTCTTCGCTGTAAAAAACATATGAAAAGGCTACTTGCGAATGCTCTGCTTGAGGAAGTCCTCAAAAGAGCAAAGCCTGGAGAAGTTCTTTGAGAAAGTTCACAGGGGCAGCCTTGTGGGTCAGTTCTGTGCCTTCTTCATTTAAGAATTCAAATTCATTGAACATGTTATATTGCAAAAAAAAAAAAGAAAAAGAAAAGAAAAAAATTTTTAAAGAATTCAAATTCAGGCGAGACACAGTGGGTCATGCCTGTAATACCAGTGTTTTGAAATGCTTAAGTGGGAGGCTAGCTTGAGGCCAAGAGTTTGGGAACAGCCTGGGCAACGTATCTACAACCCCATATCTATAAAAAATAATTTTAATAATTAGCTGGGCATGGTAATATACGCCTGTAGATCCCGCTACTCCAGAGGTTGAGGCAAGAGGATCACCCGAGCTCGAGTTTGAGGTTACAGTGAGCCATAACCACATTATGGCACTCCAGCCTGGGCAACAGAGCCTTAATG